CAGCCGGAGATGTAACGAGATTGCAAAGGCCCAATGACACCTCTCGCGAGCCACGTGCGCGCGTCGCACGCCAATTTCGCAGGTCCTCTCTCAGTCGCGCACAGAGAGGGAAATTAATTCCGCCCCCCTCCCGCCCCTCCGCGTGCGCGTTCGGGGCCGTTTTTTCCGTCCTGGCCGACAGTTTAATGCGTTTTTTGCGCGCGTTCCATCTCCCAGTTTCCAATGTTAATGGAAGGAAGGAAGGACGGAAGGAAGGAAGGAAGGAAGGAAGGAAGGGAGCAGGAGGAGACCCAGTATGGAGGCTCCGGATCGATCGAAGACTCCACTTGCTCTCTCTCTCTCTCTCTCTCTCTCTCTCTCTCTCTCTCTCTCTCTCTCTCCCGACGACTCGGTCGAAGGAGAGAGAGAGAGAGAGAGAGAGGGGGGGGAGGCGAAAGAGGATTACTTCTTTCGATGTTTCTTCCTGCGTCCGAGCACGCTTCTTTCTTATCGCGACGCGACACGGCGCGATATTAGCTTGTTCAGCGAGTTCGGCCCGGCTTTTCCGGGAAATTACATACAATCTTTCACATCTCGCTCATTCGAGTCCTCCGGCTGAACGATTGGCCGCAGAGACTGAACTGCGGCCGGGAAAGCGGGATAAACCGATGCGTTTGAGCGCCGTTAACTTCCGCGCTGAACTTTAATCAAATTCCCCGGGAGATTCCTGCTTTTTGCACACGGGGTTATTATACGCGAGCGTCGTTGCGTCCACCGCAACGGTGTTTTAATATGAGATCGCGCGCTTAATTAAAAGCGTTTTTCATCACGCGAAAATTGCAAGGCTGAAGCCCGATGGGCGCGGATATTCGGATCTTAACGGACCGCTAGGAACACGGAGATAATCAAAGAGTGACGGTGCCGCCTGCGCGTTTGCGCAATCGTATTGTTTATCATTTCCTACGGAGACCATTATTTCCCAGGTCGCAAAGAATCGCGTAACAGTCAGGACGCGAACAGTCGAGAGCCGAGAAACGAGTTATATCTCGAAGCCGGATATTCATCGTCGCGCCTTGCGAATCCCATCAGATGGATGGCTGTTGTACTGCCTATTTTCCATGCTAACATAATTGAAATTCATCAGCTTCGTTTTATCAGGCAATCGCCGGCCGATCGCTGGCGGCGACGAGTAGGAAACGCGCGAAAACATCGTCCGGGTAATTTACAGCGTGGCTCGCGGCGCTCGCCCATGATCGCGAATCTCGTGCGAAAGGCGGGACGAACAGAGAATAATGGACTGATGTAAGTCCGGGGTATTCGCACACACGTCGCAGGAAAACGTCCGACAGCGGCCGTTTATTCAGGGATAGACGGAGATGGAGGCAGGCATGAACGTGGGCAGCCGGCCAAAGAAATATCTGGCTCTTTAAGATTCCACCAGACTCGCCGGGGCCAATGACTTATTCGAACACTACCGTCGTCGTTGTAGTCGGTGCACATGCGTGAAAGCACACGCGTGCGTGCGTACTCGTGCATCTTTTTGGAGTCTAATTGCGATCTAGTCCGATTTCCCAAAGCCTACGCGGGTTCAAGTCTCGCGTGGAAAAATTTTCTTGGGATCTAATCGTGACTTTGTCTGATTTTCTCAAGTTCGTGCAGATTTAAGAAAAATTTCTGGCATCCATTTCGGTTTTTGCAAAACATTAGTCGGTTCTGATTGGGAAGTTTAAGAAGATTTTTAGAAGAATTAGGAGTATAATCTAAAAGATGCGATTCCAAGTGGAAAGCTCAAACTGATCGTATTTTTCTTGCCAAACGTTTTTCTTCTAATTCCTTTTCTTATTTCTGTTTTATATTTATGCTGAGCAAAACATTTGAAATGATCTATTTATACATACTTTGTAGGTATAAATATTTAAAAATATTTAAATTATTTCCGATATTTTGCTAAATCTCTTTTTGAAGTAAATTATAAATACCTGGAGTAAAACAATACGTATTATATTTTTGAATGGGCAATGATGTGTTAGTATAAAGTTTCATATTTAAAGTATGCATATCTAGATTTATTCAAAGTATGTATTATTTATTATATATACATCGACGTTATTAACTGAAAAACAACGTAAATTCCTACAAATAAACAAAAAGTACTTCACAGGTATCTATTCGGAAATGGTTTTCAATCAGAATAATTCTATTTCTTCTGCAAGACATAACAGAAATCTAAGGAATAATTGAACAATTCCAATCGGAAACTTTTCGAAATATTTCCACTGGTTGATTTTAGACAGAGAATTCGTGTGGAATGTAAAAAGAGGACACCCAATTAGTATCGCAATCGGAAAACCGATCTTGAGACGGCAAATTTAGGAATTCTAATCAAAATCTCTGTACTATTTTCGAGGAAATTCCCGAGAAATCGCTAAGCGAAGTATATGCACAATTGCGAAATGAAAGTACCGAGTTGCGATTGAATTTAATTTGGATCCAGGAGAGGAAAAGTACCATCGAGCCGTGATTTCCAAAATTCTATGCAATCCAGCTCGATTATGATTCGAGTTCATGGCGATCCGAGTTCTTGCCTGTACATGCGTGTATTTAGCGGAGAATTGCAGCGGAAAAGAATGCTTTTCGCGAAAGTTCTTCCTGTGTTGCGTGTCATTTTATATATTTATATACGCAACGAAATCCATCCCGCTGAATTTCACTCTACGCGCTACACCGTTGCAAATATTGATTCTGTAATAATCGCCTGACGATTTATTTATATGCCGGTAACCGGTGTACCTACATAATCTCCGGAATACGTTAATACGTTGTCGAGTATTGCGAATTGTAACGTGCGCGTTTCGCGCCGGCAGTTTAATTCTGCCGCCGGGGGTGATGCGATATTATCGAGTGTTGAAAATAAAAATGACGCACGCGGAAGGTATCGCGAATCCATAGCGGATTTCGCGCGGAACATTGCGCTAAAATTCTGCGGGAGAGACCGAGGCGGTGCGATCGTTGCGAGCGAGCCGGCTCTGACATTTCATTGACAATCGAGCGCGAGTGCATTTCCCTACGGAGATATGTTGCAAAATATTTCGCAAAAGCGAGAGAGCAACAAGAAAGAGAGAGAGAGAGAGAGAGAGAGAGAGATGCATGTGGAAATTCAAATTGCCGCTTGCTAGAGTAACTTGTTGCCGTGCTGATTATGAATGATTTACTCGACATTCACGCGCGCAGGCAGCTGCGGCGAAATCGTCGCAAAATTTCGCAAATAAACGCGTCGCAATAACGCGCGCGCGCAATACAAAGACAAAAGCAAAAGTAATCGACACATCGGCGATAATCGATTCTCGCCGGCGATTATCGCGACGTCGGCGAAATCGGCGTAAAGATGGCTCCACCTTTGCGTTGCATTTTTCGTCAATCGATAATAAAGCTCTGCAACAGTATGTTACTGCGGAATAAACCGACATAGCAGCGGTCGCCGTTTGCTCGAGGAAATCTCGAACGTGTATATGTGTGTGTGTGTGTGTGTGTGTGTGTGTGTGTGCGCATATTCGTTCTTCCGTGAGAAATCCATGCGCGTCGCAGTGTCGCGAAAATGAGAACGCGCCTTGGAGAATTTTCTCTCATCCGTACACCCGTGAGGCAAATAATTCGCCAGTAGCCTCGTGAGTGATGAATTTCGTCACTTGCTCATTCTTGAAAATGGATATCGGACGTACAGCATGTCTCCGCGGAAATAACGATCAGTCACGCGCCCGCAGAAAGGTCGCGTCGCTCCGTCAGAGGGTTAACCCATTTCCGACCGACGGATCGCTCCCGTACGCAATCCTTTAAGCCGCCTCCCCCCTTGACTTACGATTGTTGAAAAAAGGGAAGGAAAAACGCGCGTCCCGCGCAAGTCTACGATCCCATAGAGACAACCGCTCCTGCGCGGCCGCGAGAAAAGGGAAAGAAAGGCTCACATCTCGCTCCGCTCGAGGAATCGATGCGCTTAATATTTCTCTACAAATTTATACACGTAGACTGTGCGCTTTCTTATGAGCGAGATTTGAGGACAAAATACAAAGGACAGATAATATTCCGCTTCCACTGTCCACAGGCGAGCTATCTGGCTTTTTGCAGTGAGAATGAAGCTAGACGAGGATCGAATGTGCCTGAGGTATAAATTATCTTTTTCAGACGTGGTCTTCGCGGCTTCTTGCTCAGTCCACGTATACAATGTATGATCTCGCTCGTAATCTCTCCGGCTCATTCGCTCGCGCGACCCGAAAGACCCGCATTAGCGTGGCCGACATGGATTCCTCGCGCGACGGTTGAACCCATTTCTCGAGGAGCCGCTGTTTGGACAAACGTCTCATTAGGTAGTGTGATCTTTCAAGCGCACGGCAGCCTAAATAATTGGGTCAGACATACGCGCTAAGATATGCAACGCCGCACGTAGCCGGGAAAAGGGTTAAAGCCACGTAGCTGGGGAAAACAGCAGCGACAGAGGCGGATATAGAGAGAAAGAGAGAGAGAGAGAGAGAGAGAGAGAGAGAGAGAGAGAGAGAGAGAGACGAGGACATATCCCGCGACCTGATTCCGCGAGGATGGCCTCGGCGAACTCGAGCAAGGACGCGCGTGACGACAGCCGCGCGCGCGATTACGCAGGACGACGTTCCGCGCATTTCCGCGGCCGAGAGAGACAGAGAGGGTCCACTTGGACCGCGTCGCGACCGCGAGGCCTGATCCCGAGGACCGATATAGGTCGCAGGTAGTCAGGTATACGGTTGGCCATAGCGCGCGGAAGCAACGGAATCCAATAATCGAATCCCGTCGTTCTGTACGTCTCGATGCGACCGCACTAGGCATGCACTCAAGCACTCACTCACCCACACGCACGCACTCACGCTCTCTCACTCGTCAAAGATGACACGAACTCGCGCACTCGCCGGCCATAGAAGGCTCATCACGGTGATGACGGAGTGGCCGAAACGTCATAAGAGGACTAACGAGAGAGGAGTCCGATGATCTCGACTGACCTGATTCTCCGTGTTGAGTAGTTTGAGCTGCTCGTTGATCAGGCTGTACTTGGTGCTCTCCTCCTTGCGCAGCGCCCGCTCCTTCTTCAGCTCCGGGCTCCAGAAGGTCTTGATGCTGTGCATCGAGCTGCCGAGCTTCTGGTTCGTCAGCTCGAGCTCCTTCTTCAAGTTGCCGAGCTCCCGCTGCAGATCGTTGTTCTGGTGCTGCAGCTCGCCGATGTAGCCACCGCTTTCGCGCAGCATGTGCGGATTCGGGCTCTGGCGCGCCGACCTCGAGCTGTAGAGCTCTTCCTCGAGGTAGAGACTGCGATCGCGGCTACGCTCGCGGGGCTCGCGGATCGGCACGAATTCCCGATCATGGTCGAGATTGCCGGCGGAAGCACGGTCGAGGCTGGTGTAACGCGCTACCATGCCCGCCGAGTTGGACATGGCGGGTCTCGAGGCGCTTCTGGATCGGTGATGTCCGCCCCCACCGCCCCCGGTCGACATACTCCTGCCCCTCTCCTCGAGCATCACGGGACTGCCGAGGTCCTCGTCGCGGGAGTAGTACGGGCTGCCCAGCTGATGGTGATGGTAGCTGCCGTAGCCGAGGTGCTCCGGCGAGTTGTTGCCGCTGCGGGTGCCTCGTTGCTTACGACCTAACGGACTGCCACGACCGCTCGCGTAACTCCTCGACGGGCTGCGGTCGACGGTCGGCAATTCGCCCACGCGACGACCGCTGCGTGGCGAGCGAGTGCCACCACCGGGACCGACCACGCCACTGCCGCTCGCGTAAGGATCCCGTGACATTCTACGAGGCTCTCCGCGATGTCGAACCTCGGCCTCCTGCTCGCCGTGGGATCGTCCCGATCGGTCGGTGGCTTCCCGTCCTCGACGCTTGCGGAAGTTTTCTCACAGACCTCTTTCTTCCTCTGTCCTCTCTCTCTCTCTCTCTCTCTCTCTCTCTCTTTCTCTTTCTCCCTCACTCCTCCTCCCTCTCTCTCTCTCTCTCTCTCTCTCTCTCTCTCGCGCGCGCTCGTGCTTGTTTCGCGATCGACCACAATACGCGCGACCTGCGATACCTCGACGGCGTCCGCGTGTTCCGGCAGTACTCGTTACCTTTCCTGAGCCGCGAGGGAACCCCGCGGATTCTCCCGGGTGCTCTCCCTAAACCTCCGTCCTGGTCGCCGCGCTGATCATCGCTCGATCGGCCTTCCTGTCACGCCTCACGGCCGTTCCTCAGTCTCTCGTCGCCGTCGCGCGGCGTTTTCACGCTCATATCAGTCGGATCGAGAACGGCGGCCGCGAGCGTCAATGAGCGCTTTCCCGTTCCCGGTCGCAGCGGGACGTCCGTCTGCCTGTCCACGGGGTTCAATTGGAGTAACAGCCGGAGAATGGAGGCCCGCGTCTTCGCGAGATCGCCCTCTCGCCGGCGACTCGATTTTCGCTCCTTTCCCGATGTCCTCCAGCATCCGGCTATGGCCGACCACGACGACGGCGATGACGAGGACGTCGCGCGATTCCGACCGTTCTGAACCTTCGTGATGTCCGATGTCGAAGCAGCAGAACGTGCCGCGGGATACGCGAGAACCTTTCTACTCTTTCTACTCTACTTGCGACGGCTCGCTCGTGAACGACGACCATTGACGAGGTTCTCCTTCGTATCCGCCAGACAGAGTTCTCTCTCTCTCTCTCTCTCTCTCTCTCTCTCTCTCCCTCTCTCCCTCTCTCTCTCTCTCTCTCGTTCTCTCTCTCCCTCTCTTTCTCTCGTTCTCTCTCCGCGTGTGGTTGATCTCAACGAAGGCCGGTTCGGTCCCTCCTCTGCCGGTCGATCGACCTCATCGCAGCATCGCGATGATGATCCTCCGTCCGATCGATTCTCTTTCTCTCTCTCTCTCTCTCTCTCTCTCTCTCTCTCTCTCTCTCTCTCCACCCACGCCGCCCTTTCCACCCCTCGGCGAGAACAACTTCCGCGCTTCTGGCCGGCGTACTACTACTAACAGATAGTACTACTACGCGCGTGGGTCACTTCGTGCTCGGCGGCGGCGTACGGCGAGGTCACGACCCTCGTCGGCCCGAGAATCGATCTTTGACCTTCTTTCGACGGCGTAGCCCATCGAGCGAGGGCGAATAGAGATCGAGGGGGAGAGAGAGAGAAAGAGAGGTAGCCGACTCCCTCTTCTTCCGTCTTCCGGTTCCCGAGCCGATGCGAACGTACAGACGAACGAACGAACGAACGAACGAACCCTCTCTCTCTCGCGTGCCCCCTCTCTCTCTCGTTCCCTCTTCCGGTCTTTCTCGCTCTCTCCCTCGGCCTCCGTCGTGGCGCTCCGGATCCAAGAACCGCCCTTTCGAGCGAGCGAGCCAAGTCGACGAACCGAGCCGACTACGTTGCTTTCCTCGCGGGCTCGTTCCACCCTCGTGTGCGACGGGGCGCTCGCACGAGCGCACACCCGCGCTTGCGTGGGTCTGCGTACGTACGTACGTACGTACGGACGTACGTACGTGCGTGTGTATGTGTGTGTGTATACTGTATATATATATGTGTATGATAGAGTGCACGCGTATATGTACGCGCGTAAAAATTGTGTACGTACGTCGCGTGCGTTTACGGCGCGCACACACCTATACACTCGAGGGTATACGATATCTCTTCCGCTCCGCTATTCTCTCTCTCTCTCTCTCTCTCTCTCTCTCTCTTTCTTTCTCTGTCTGTCCCTTTTTCTCTCTACATGTCGCGCTTCGCTGTTTCCGTTTCGTGAAACCAGCGCCTAAGATCCCTCCTTATCGATTTCATTCTCTCTCGCTTCTCTGTCTCTCTGTCTCTCTTTCTCTCTCTCTCTCTCTCTCTCTCTCTCTCTCTCTCTCTCTCTCCTCTCCCTCTCCCTCTCCCTCTCCCGTTTCTTTCTTCTTCCGGTCCCGTCGTCGTCTCGCCGCCCGCGCCTCGTAGATGATACCCGACGTCGCTTTCGCGCACAACCCCCGTGTACGACGACGACGACGACGACGTGCGGCGGGACGGACGGCGATTCAACCACCGGCGCCGACCTACCGACCCACCGACCGACCGACCGACCGACCGACCGACCGACCGACCGACCAACCGACCGACCAACCAACCAACCAACCAACCGATCCAACCGACCAACCGCACTACACTATCCACCGTCCACTACCGGAGCACAGCCACTTCCGTGCACTGACGCCGCCACCGCCGCCGTTGCCGCCACCGGCGTTCACCGCCACCCTCACGCGCGCCTATCCACCCTCTCTATGTCTTTTCCCCGTCTGCTCTTTTCCCTGTCCCTCTCTCCCCCCCTCTCTCTTTCGCTATCTCTCCCTTTCTCCCTCCCTCTCTCTCTCTCTCTCTCTCTCTCTCTCTCTCTCTCTCTCTCTCTCTCTCGTTATCTCTCCCTCTCTTCCTCTATCGTTCGCGCAGTCGAATACAGGCCAGCCACCCCGCGACGCACACACGTATACATTCGCGATTGCGCGAGCCAGTCGCGATCACATCCCCGCTTTCGCCGGTTCCTGTGTAGGTAGGTACAGATACGGGTATGTATGGATGCGTATATATGTACGCGCCCTTCGCGGAGCCAGCACTGAAAAAGAGAGTCTCTTCGCGGAAGAGACGAGAAGGAGGTACGGCACGACGCGCGACGAGTCCGCGCGCACTGAGAGAATACTTTAATGTCGGCTATGACCGAGCGAGAAAGGCCACCCTTTCATATCGGCACCTCCTCCTCTTCCTCCTCCTGCTCCGGCGCCACCACCACTGCCAACGCCAACGACGCCGCCGCCATCTCCGCGACCATCACTATAGACCACAACCACCAACATTGCCAGCTCCGCCATCGTAGGGGCCACTTCCCTGGACGCGGAATGTTCTCTACGTTGCGAGTAAGCTGCACCGCGTATGTCCCCATGCTCCTCGTCGCAGTCACTCACACATGCAGCCGCACACATTCAGAGATTCACCCACCCGCCCCCACCCCAGTCGGAGGACGAAGGGTAAAAGCGTCGGTAGCGCCACCGGCCGACGTCACCGACGTCATCGCGACGGCCACTACGCCGAGGCGTGGATATCACCCGCTCGATTTTCCCTACACCCCCGATCGCGCGCTCGTCGCTCATCGTCCCTTTCTCCTCCCTTCGCCGGCTCCGACGACTACCCAGTTCTCCTCTCGCCCTGCCGGCGGCGCAGTGGCCGGCCAGTGTGGTGGGTTCTTCTTCGGAGTGGCTCCCCAACGCGCAGATGCACCCGTCGATCCATGTATGCGCGAGGCGTTGAGAAAGCGGCGTCGCGCGCGGAACATCACCGTACAGAGGGAACGGTGAACTTCGTGAAGGAGAGCTCGGAAGATATATATACGAGTCCTTACCGGAACGTGGCCCTATGAGAAGGGCTGAGTCGGGGGGGAGGGGGGCCGGCTGGGGAGCCGCGGATGACGAGGAACGCACGTGGCGGAATTGACCTGATGTGAACGGAGCAGGAAGGCCGCTTGAATCAACGCGACTATGAACGAACGGAACGGACGCGTCTCTGGGAACTGGACGGCGGGAAACGAGAATCTCTCTGACGCTCGCGATTAAATTTCCGGAAATTTCGTAACCTTCGAGCGCAAAACGCGCTCGCTGCTTCATTGTTCATCGCGTCACGTTGGTTCGAGCAAACTTTTTTGCCCTAAACAGCCGCTCTGACCAAGTCGGAGCCTCCCCCTCTGCCGCTGTTTAACTGATAAGCGACTGATAAGAGCTCCCGAATTTTTATCAGTTTTTTTGTATCTGTGGTGAGGACAATCGGACGATTTTTATTCTCTCCCTCCCCTTGCCTCTACTTCTCTCTCCATGAAAATCCCACCCCCCTCTCACAGCTCTCCACAGTCTGTTTATCCCCGACAGTTCGAGACTCTCGAGAGCGGCAGTGGACTTGACCTGCGCCGAATGTAATCTTGTATACCGCTGTCGTTTATTGCCGCGGCGGGTCTTTAATGAAAATGGCTTTATCGTAAGAAAAGGTTAGCGGAGCGTGAGCGAGTGCCCCCTGGGGCACTCTGACCCCGCGCTCCAACCCTGAATACACGTTCCACTTGGAACCACTTCTCTCCCTTCGCCGCGCAACGACCGTCGACCCGGCGTACGAGCGTCGCAATCAATGAAGCTACGATTCACCGAGCAGTAGCGTATCATCGCGGAATTGGATTACGGCGGTCTCTCTGACGTAGTAAAATAGTGCCGCGCATAGAACAGCGGCGCGCGCGCGCGCGAGAGAGAGAGAGAGAGAGAGAGAGAGAGAGAGTCGCCGCTGCCGCGCCGCCTGGGAATAAAATTTACAACGCGCTGGTCGGTCAATTAACACGCGCCCTTCTGATCGGCGCACTGCGATTCATGATCTACACAGCACACGGCCTCTCCTCTCTTCCCTTCCTCTCTCTCTTTTCCTCTGTTAACCGCGAGTTACTGTCGCGTGATTACGCATTGTGAGATTTAAGGAACTCGCCTGTGTTCTTTCGCGACGGCAGGCCTTACGATAATTCGCCGTTCATTCGCAAGCCCGATCGTTTCATTCGATCTCACGCACGCGAGCGTGTACCTCGAGATCGGAGCGAATTCAGGAAAATCTTGGGGCGGACGCTGCTTTATCGAGTTGCCTCGCGTAAATAGTTAAGCGGATTTGTTCGGAAGAGCCGCGCGAGTAAATGGCGCGCTGCACGCATCATCCAAGTTTGTGATAATTGCTATAACGCGACGCTATAATTACCATATCTGCCGATGTGTGTGTATCGTACATCCCCGACTCTTAATGAATGCAGTTTCGTATCGCGCGTTCTGCCTTGTATCTGATTGCATTCGTGATTACATGTCATTATAGCGACTCGTTCGTTCGCTCGCCAAGTTTCCAACTTTGCGAAATCAATCGACTCGCAGAAAAAGAGAAGAAGGAAACACGTAAACAGAAAAATAATCAAGTGCAGTGACGTGGATAAAGTAAATGGATAAAGATTCAATTTCATTTGTTTTTAACGCGCACTTCGCTCTTGTTCGCGAAAAGAGAAAGAATAATTAACGAGGAAGATAATCAAGTCGATGACGAAGCAAAGAGGAAGAAATCATTTTTCTTTTTAATTCTAATGCGTATTTCGCTGTCGGGATTTGCGGGAAAGGTGAAAAAAATATACGAGAGAAATGATCGGTTCGATGACGTGGACGAAATGAATGGAGAAACTTTGTTTCCTGTTTTCCAACGCTTTGTCATAAGCAAGAGTAAGAAAAAATAATTAATGAAGAGAAAGAAGACAATTGCACGACGTAAGCGAAGCAAATAGAAAAGAGACCGTTCTTGTTATCTGTAACGCGTACTTTGCCGTTCTTTTCATCGTCGCTTTTATCGTTGATATTTGATTGACTCACATTCCCTAAATACGGCGGATAAATCACCGACTAATCAGGCAGAAAGAAGAACGTCTTTTTACATAACCTCTTTCGTGATGCTTGATAGCATCTCAAGATGAGGTGCAAGACAAGAAAGATCTTCAATCCGACGTGATTCTTACGGTATCTTAAAAATGATTTCGAACGATTATCGGACCGATACTAATATTAATTCGCCGACGCTGATACGACAGAGATCATCGACCTTTGCACTCGACTGTTTACAGCCTTCTGCTAATGTTTTGATAATGATATAATGCCGATATGGAACGATCTCGCCGTTTCGCGCGAGAGATGCATGATCCCCGGCGCGTATTTTCTTAAAAGCACGACGTTTATCGAGCGAAACGAATGTCGATACGTTTCGAGATACGATAGTTCGTGGTCAATGTTTCACGTTGCTTTTTTGACCTGTCTTTTATCGCGAGTTAAAATGTAAGTGAAAAAAAAAATTATGAACACGATAGATATAAAAACAAAGCACGGATGCAGGACGAAACGGAAGGGGGGGGGGACTCTTATCTACCGATCACACAAATACTTCTCTTTTCGTTATATCATATTTTCAATAAGAGCGTTATCTGTTTACACCTGGGGGGCAACTGATAACGCGCGAAATAACAGCTAAGTCGACGAAAATAGGTCGAATCTGCGATTAAAAAATATACCGACGCATAAAAGTCGTATACAAGTCGACATAATAGCCTTAAGATGCAACTAGGTTATTAAGCTTTCCTAACCTAACGAATTATCGGTTTACTATTTATTGATTATCCAAGGGAGCGGAAACATCATTTGTCGAGACAGTAATCTAATTGCGATAACTTGACGTTGCGCGGAAACTGTCATGCGCGTTCGGAAAATTACAGAATTCTAATCACTTAATTATATTTAAGGCTGTCATATGAATACAAAAGAAAAGAATCCGCGAATCTTTCACATTTCCTCATCCGCTCGGCTCCCTCGCCGCTCCCGCCCCGCTCGCGGAACTATTATAGGAAGAAAGTTCGCCATCATCGCGAAGTTGGCAAACGGACATTCCTGACGGTCGTCTCTGACACGGTGTGCACACGGTATGTGACACAGGAGACCCCGTCGCGGCGAGATCTTCAGGATAAAACGGAGACTGCGCCGGCCGCAGGAGGACTGGTTTATTCCCACTTGACCGTGAGGCTCTCGCGGGGACCAAAGTGATAAAACTTAAGTGGCGCAGGCTAAGGTCGTTACCACTATCATACGCGCGTACCGTTCTCCGCGCGATCCGTCCTGCGATCGCCAGTAGACGATGACCACTCGGTGGAGTCGCATCGTTCCTCGTTGATCTCGCACGTGAATCGCTCACTCGCTCGTTCGTTCGTCCGTCCGTCCGCTCTCACGAAACAGACATGCGGTACCAAACGTCGTCGTCGTCGACGTCGATCGTCCTAGTCCTGCTGGTCGCCTCGTTCTTCTGGCAAGCCTCTTCCTTGCACTCGGACGCGGGCTCGTGGTTTCAATCTACCAAGGGCGAAATCTGGCCTATGCCGAACTCGCGAGTGCTCAAGGAGGACTTCTACCTGCTGCGGCCGTCCAACTTCGATATTCGAGTGAGCTCTCTTCCCTTCTTTCTTCGTTGCCTTTTTCTTATTAGACGATCTCCTCGCGCGTGTCGCGTCGCGTCGCGGCGTTTCTCCGTTCGGCACGCGACGACTCGTCGACGCGCGCACTTATGCAGAATTGTCGAGAGGGATTGACGGATCCCCGATCACACACGTTTGTCATTCTCAATTTTGCCGCAGTAATTTCTTGACGGTTGCCATGCGAGCTTTGCGTGCGCACGCGATGCGGCCGTTTGAACGAAATTGTCGTTCCGATGAATCCTGCGGAAACGGAGGACTCTGATTACACGGTGCTCGCTTGCTCGCGATTCCATGTGTTTTGCACCGGCGCGGCAATCAGGTCTCTACGTTTTTATTTCTCCCTAGAATATTGTCTCTATGCTCCGTTCTATGTGTCAAATATTGCTGTGATCTATCCTGAGACCAACGAGAATGATCTCCTCTCACAACTTCTGCAGGATGCTCGATTTTCTCGCGCGATATTTCTCTCTCGATGTTTTGCTCTTCAACGATACTTTGCTTTTTGCTTAGGTAAACAGCGAGACATGCGATATAGTGACCGAGGCGATAGAACGGTATACGAGAATCATCTTGACGGAAGCCAGAATAGCGAGGCTGGTCACGGAAGGGCAGCCAAGAACATCCGTACGAGACGATCCTCACTTCAGAGGCACTCTTGAGGCCCTGAGCATCCGCCTTCTGCAGCCTTGCGAGCAGAATGGCGATCATTGGCCACACTTGTACATGAACGAATCTTGTAAGTTTGTGTGTCGTGTTGTGTGAAAAATTAAGAGAAAAGGGGAAGAAAATGAGCTGCGCCTTCGACCGAACGCAATTTGTCGGTATCGTGAATTTTGCGCGACTGAAAGCTGCATTCGTTAAATGCAGTTCGGTATTTGCGATAAATTTTGCGGCAGATACCGAAGCCACTTCGATCAGTTGTTTGCGCGTGTTTCGAACGGTAAACCAATTTGATTATTTAACCAAAGGTAACAATGAGAGAGGGAGCTGTTCTTTTCGGTTCGGTAAAAAATTGAGCAAGATTCAGAGGCACGTTTTCTGTATAACGGCGAATTAAGGTGGCGCTCGCTTTGCACGTACAGTTTGCATTACAAAGCAACGGTGCACCAACATATTAACCGAATGATGTCAACGGACGTCTCGCTAGTAGCCTCGATTTGATATTGGCCGACTCGTGTCGATAACGGGCTTTCGCGTGTGCGCGGACTGAATTCCTACGATTCCCAATAGTACCTTCTCTCCTATCCGGTGATCGAAACCGGTTTATCGAATTCATCTGATAACTCCTAACGATTTACATTAAATAAATAGTTTACATTAAACAGTACGAGCAAAGCATATTTGTTAAAAGTGGTATTATTTGATACATGAAATGATATTGCAATTTCGAAACTTCAGTTTTATTCCGTCATATATATAATCCGTTTAAAATTGAAAAGTTCAAAGCTTCGATCAATATAAACTAATCGATATAAATTGAACTCTATTCAAAGGTTTGAGATATCAAAGCTCTTAATAGAAGCAAGCTCTAGAAGTAAGTTTATATTTAAATAAACGCATTAATTGTTATTTCAATCGGTTGTTTGTATAGTTTTATATTATCTGTCAAAGTAGATCAATGGGATTAAAGAGCTGCACTTTTCAACTATAAATTTTATACGATTCGAGTCCTTTCGAACAATATATTCTCGAGATCTCGAAGTGCTGAATATTTGAATATTCGAATATTTATTCTTCGGAATTTCTGTATACAAATATAACGTCTTGAAGGCTCAGAAATTCAAAGCTTTAAATAACTGAAGCTCCACATATAATTTACAGCCCTAACAATAACGACTTTTCCCCTACATATTTCTTATAAAATGACGGAGAATCAATTTGTTCATGCAATTCGCATTAAAATCCAGCATTCTGTGAAAAATATACGAAGTCATCATAATCACTAAAAACAAAAACAAAAAGATTTTTGTAATCACAATCATACAACGAAAGAATTATAATATTATCTCGGAATCATTTTTCTTAGTATCTGTTATCATAATGTCAATAATAATAACCTTATATGTATATTGTTATCATCACATTTTAGAACAAAAAGATATAGCTGACGCCAGAAATGGCTATAATTTCCGTAAAATTGACCGTCTTATCTCGGTGATTTTCTCCGGTGACTCCGCGTGAGTAAAGTTCATCGCAACAGATGCGATTCTATTCTAGTTTAGAGATCCAACGATTTATTCCTTACAGCGTCCGGCTGTATCTGAGAGCCTTGAAGCTTCAACAATCGATCGTTTAGCCACGCGGCGCGAATTACAATTAATTTACTTCGATCAATCCAAGGCGATCCTGCGCGTCGTGGAATGACGGAGTGTGCGCTGAACGCAAGATTTTCGAGCGAGTTAAGCAATAGTGGTGTAATCAGCGAAACAATTGAGACGAGGACGGACAATGAGACACAGAGCTCGATTTGTCTTCTAGTTTCTTATCGTCCCGTATAAAGAGTGCCGTCCGCGTTGTGAGATCGTAATATCGGTGATTAGCGCGCGCATAATTCTGCGATTTTATCTGCGCGCACTCTTCCACAACGACTGAATCGACTTAGCGGCCTGTCGCGCACTTTTCCAGATATGCTCGAAATAAACGAGACGTCGCCGGTCGCCATTCTCTGGGCCGAGGCTGTCTGGGGAATCCTACGAGGACTCGAGACCTTCTCGCAGGTGCTGGCTCCGTCCGGCGACGGTCCCACTGTAAGTATCTAAACGTTTACCCTCCCCTGCCAACCTTCTCACGCAAGAACGCAATTTTGTCACGCAATCTGATGAATTCGAGTCACGAGAACCTCTGAGCGGAAACACCACGATGAAATCTACGATTTTTTGCGTTGTAGATATTCCCGGAAATGTCGCTTGCAATTTTTTACAGCGTCATCGACTTATTTGACCTTTGTCGACGGGGGAAAATAACAGGATAATTATATAGAAGATCGCATATCAAAATAAAAATATCTTAAATGTGTAATTTTTTCTATATAATTATCAATAATATTTTCACCGGGTGAACATCACACTTATAAACTTGATCGCGTCGCGAGCTTCCTGTAAGATTACGCTGGGATTTTAGCGGGCATGAGCAATCGGTTGTTCGCTCGAGAGCGATCCAGCAGGCGAAATGCGAGTTTATTCATACGTTTCAGTTGAAAGTGAAGTGCCAGACCATCGTGGACCAGCCGAAATTGCCGCACCGGGGTCTCCTGCTGGACACCTCTCGGCATTACCTGCCCCTATCCGACATTCTGTTGACACTAGACGCGATGTCGTACAACAAGCTCAATGTTCTGCACTGGCACATCGTCGACGACAATAGTTTCCCGTACGAAAGCACCAGGTATCCTGACCTATCTGCCAAGGGCGCTTATCATCCCTTGATGATCTACACACCTAACGACGTGCAGAAAGTTGTCAATTATGCAAGACTACGTGGGATCCGAGTGATGCCCGAGTTCGACACACCTGGACACACTAGATCGTGGGGCCTGGCCTATCCGGAATTACTGACTGCATGTTACGGTAAATAAATGAACGTAGACACACGATGTGTCCTGTACGAGACGCGCCTGGTCATTCCCACCAAAGTCACAAGTCCGTGTTTCCGTTCAACGTCAAAAAATGCTGACCGTTGGATTTTCGAGTGTATATAATGCGATCTTTTTATCGGTAGATCTCAAGATTGGACGACCTGAATATTTTAACGCTAAATATGCGGTGAAATTATATAATTATATTGGATTCGCTGCACATAAATAGATGATAAATAAGTGATAAAGTAAAGTAATTAAAATATATGGGGTTTGAGAAGAAATAATTGATAATAATTAAATATTTAATAAATAATTAATAAAATAAATTACGTTAAATAGTTAGTAAATAATTTATAAATGACTCATAAATTCCCATAAATCTCAAAATTTCGTAAAATACGCGTAGGAAACGTTGAAAAGTATTAGAATGCCGGCTACCGAACGTTTTCTCTCTAAATAATGATTCCAACATAAACAAATCGAAAGTCCATCTAATCAAATTGCAAGTATCTGAACGTTCAGTCTCTTTCCTTCGTCACAAACAACGAAATTATTATACGCAACTTGACGAACTAAAGTCCCGAGAGCCTCTGAGCGAAAACGTCGCAACAAAGTCTCTGCTTCGTCGCGCGTCGAATTTATTAATATTTTCCCAACGACGAGAATCGTGTTAATTCGTTTCATGTGTCCGTTAGACTCCGGCAAGCCAAACGGTAAACTGGGCCCGATGAACCCGACGAAGCCAGCACTGTACGAATTCGTGCGCAACTTGTTCTCCGAAATCGTGCAAGTGTTCCCCGATCAATATATCCATCTAGGCGGTGACGAAGTGCCCTTCGAGTGCTGGGCCAGCAATCCGGAAATTATCGCGTACATGAGGGAGCATAACATGTCCAGATACGAGTCCCTGGAGAACGAGTACATAGCGAAAGTGCTGGCGATTAGCAAGCAGTTGGATGCCAACACCATCGTCTGGCAAGAGGTGAGTGTTTCGCGAATTACTTTTTCTTACTTTCTCACTGCGACCTCCGTCTCCCTCAACCGCCGACCAGTTCTCTCCTCTCGCTTTTGCCACCCTCATTTTTGTTATTCATTTTTCATACGACTTCTTTCGAGCTGATTCTTGCCTCTCAGGTCTTCGACAACGGCGTCAAACTGCCCACGACCACCGTGGTCCACGTTTGGAAATTACCACAGTGGCAGAAGGAGCTGGAGAGAGCGATCATGGCCGACCACCCTGTCTTGTTGTCCTCTTGTTGGTACCTGGACCACATCGCCGGCGGCGGCGACTGGACCAAGTTCTACGATTGTGATCCTTTCAACTTCGATATCACGCCCAATCGCACGCATCTCATGCTCGGCGGCGAGACTTGCATGTGGGCGGAATTCGTGGACAAGTAAGTGACTCGTTTCTTCATCACGCTTGCTACCAGCAGGCTTATTCTGCGATTTATTAACGTATTGTAACTACAACGCATGCGTCGTTGCGTGTCATGTGATAGCTACGATAACGATAACGATCATGTCGTTGAAAGTTGCAGAATAAATGGGAAACTTTCTCTACAGACTATCCTATACTTTTTATGTAATTGCGCGAAACAATTAGGCCGATATTTGTAGTTCGATATAGGTTGGTGCGAAATATTTGTCATTTTTGTATTAAATTTTTCGCGAAAAGTTTCGGTATTAATTGGGTCTTAATACAATGAAAGTTATTCATAATTGGGTACTAAGTATTAATTGATATTCCTTCGACGCGATTTCGCAGTGAACTTTTATTTTCATCGGTCCAAATCAATAAGATATAAAATGGAGCAATTAAATGGGAGTATTCTGCTGAAAATCAATAAATGCTCATTGATTTTCGGCGGAAATTTTATTGATTTAATCATCGAAATATTTTACCAATTCATTCAATCTAAGAAAGCAGGAAATCCTCATTAGATGTTTAAAAAAAAATAGTCGAAAGTCGACATTTATTATTCATTTCATTTGCAAAAATGACCAATCTTTGATGAATCATTTAGTCATTTCATATTTTATTTAACAAGTACGACAAATATTTTGCACCGGTTTAATGTTTAATATCGTCTTAAATTTATCTTCATCAAATGTTCCCCTAGTCAATGAAAACGGTCTGTATAGAGCCTGGAAGTGAACTTTGGACGATCTTAAACATAACATTCGACTACAAAGGACGTTCTCAGTTTATCCGTGTAGATAAAGAAAGAGAAAACTCGCTGTCACACGTATGACGCGGCGAGGCTGGTTTCTCTCGTGAGAGACCGGTGCGTCATGCATGTTGACGCTGATAGCGGACGTACTAGGTCGGGGTCACGTAGAAAACGTAAACAATAGCATCCAAACAGTAAGCAAGTTCACCACGACGAGCGCGGTCGATTATTCTCTCTGCAGTGTTCAAGCGTGATCGATCGTTATTGTTTAATCTTGCCATTGCTGATGTTTTTGCTCTTATACCGCACGTCTCACATCGAGCTTCCTCATCATGGTTCCTCATTACGGTTGCTCTTAGGAACAACGTGCACCCCCGAATTTGGCCGCGTGCAAGCGCAGCGGCCGAGCGTTTATGGAGCCTCAACAAGCAGGACAACAACGTGGCGGCCCAGCGTCTGGAGGAGCACGCCTGTCGTATGAACAGACGCGGTATACCCGCGCAACCAGCAAATGGACCGGGATTCTGCGTGACGTAACGTGCACCCGTCAGTTGACACTAATCTCCCGTTTAACCCTTGTATTACGCCCGCGTACGCTAAAGAGAAACACAAGCCGTCACTCCGCACTCATTCACCGCTGTCGCATCGATGTTTGTCACAATAAATACAGTTTGAACAACGAGAACGAGTGTGTATTTCTTTCTTACACCTTTCGTACGTGCAAAGTGTAAAAAGTCGATTATCAGGATTTTAAGACGATTTCTCTTGACACGATGGTGCAACGATGGTTTTTACACATGCCAATTTCCTGACACATCACATGGAGTATGTATATATATATTTTTATCACACAAAGTGAGACGGGAAAAAAGTTGGATCAATAGTGATGTCATCCCAGCGCTACTAAAGTTCACTCTTTGACATGTAAAAATCATCTTTTACATGTGTTGCATAAGTGCATGTTACTTGCTCTTCGAGTATTTTATAAGTTTACATATCCGCAGATCTGTCATAAGTTCGGCATACATGTCAAATTTATTCAAAATATATTTTAAATCCTGATAAATTTAGTATATCAATGAAGAATATCAAGTTAAATATTGAAATTAGAATACTAAATAAAAGAAAGTACGGTTTGCTCTCTATATAAATTTTATAATATTTTGGAAAAGATGGAGATAAATTTTTCCTTCGAATACATGATAATGGGTTTTTGTAAACTTCGTAATAATTATACTTTAAGAATTATCAAGAAAATATTTTTTACTAAAGATAATCATTATCTAAAAATAAAGCAATTGACCGCTTCTCTTAGTAGTAGAAATGATATTTTTCTCTGTGTCTTTCAAGAAGGATAAGTCTTGACATAGATTTAACGGATTCCGGAATCAACGAAATTCAACGTCAAAAATATGAAAATTGATCGCGCAGTTTTCGACATATTAAATTGCTGAGCCTTACACGGGCCACCCTGTACAATCGAGCGCGTCCATTAGAGGCGATTCTCGATAAGTATGAAGAAAAAAGAAGAAAAAAAAAAAACGACGATACAAGCGTCGAATCTTCGACGCGGCCGTGTTTTTCAGCATATTGAAAATCAGTCAGTCGTGGATTTATCTTGCATACTTTTACACGTCAAATTAAATTTCTCCCCCAATCTATCTGCCTAGTGCGTAGCAGCGTTGAACTGCGTAAAACTGATTTGCATGCATGCCGGTCGTGTGCAACACCTGTCCTATCTGTTATCCCTACCGCAGCGGTGTCGTGAAATTATGATCTATTGTTAGACGTAGATGTTACAACCAAGATACGACGCTGCTTTTGTCATGAGCCTTTCAATCGAGCTCACGAACCATCGCCGGAGTGCACTGGAATGCGATGGTTGATGTGTACATCGAGGGTATTGTCGAAATGGATACGTGGCGGACGGTTGCGTCGGCTGGACGAAGGAATGTTTTTGTTTAAAGTCAAACAACCCGTGACGAAATTGATTTCCGTCGGTGGTGGTGATCGCGCGCGATCGCGATTTAGAGTAAAAATACTTTCTAGCGAGAGCGCGATATTAGATGACTTAAAATAATCTTAAATAAACTTCTAAATAAGCCTCAATTGAAAGAGGATTCGAAGGCCCTTTGATCAGACTCGGAAGAAAAAGGAAAAACAGAAGAAATCAAAATAATCGATTGAAAAACGATCGTTCTGTGTAATCGCTATTTACCCGATATCAATTTTAACCATTTTAGTCGACCAAATGCTCGACACTGAGCAAAAGTTTACACATATAAATGCCGTTCACCGAGAGATTGCATCTCACGCAAGAGGGATGTTTTTGTATAAGTACGTTGTCTTTTCCGCGCGATCGGAAAACTGACACGCGCGGATTGCGCAAATCAAACGACCAGTTGGAATTTTCGTCGATTGCGTCGTTCGTTTCGAAATATCGCGTTCGTTCCTGCTACTTCAAGGCTAAAGGTGATCCGCTATCGGTGATGGATAACGCTGCTTGACGCTTGCGCTTTTTGTTCAATGTCGGCGATTCGCGTCAGCGTCATCTCGTGCACTTTGAAACGACAAAGAAGCGGGAATTACTACGAGTGATTCCCCGCGCAATCTATTCCGCGAAAGCCGACGATCGACATTTTCACGTGTCACCAAGGTTACCCTTGGCTTAACAATCTTCACAGCCGATCTACTATCATGAGAGACGGTTAATTTTAAATTTTGCAGTATTTCTCAGCAGAAATCGACAAATTCCAAGTGACATCAAATCATTTCCTCGATGTGCTTTCACGTCGGAACAAGCAACCATTGACGATTTCACGTTCGACCGCACTTTTCAAAATCCTCGACGATTTTGTCAACGGTACTCGTTGTCTACGGATCGTCGTCTACTGCTTCGTACGGTACGCATCGCTAAAGCATCATGTCGAGGTAAATTTTATAACAGGGGCTTAATCTCTTAATAGGATTCGCGTTAATTAGAAACGTCAGCCGCGTGAATTTAAGCGTTTAGAATTCGAGCAAATGTCAGAATTATAAGGGTTAATGATAGGATAACGATTTTCAACCTCACATAAATAATTGAGTCGAAATTTCGACTGAATATTCAGTAATGTACAACTATTTTCGTTACAAATCAATGCGAATTTGCGACATGCATCATATTTTGAGATGGTTCTAGGCGAGCTTTGAACTGAACATTCACCAATGAGCATTGACATTCACCGGTGTCTCGCCAGGTTCAATAACGTCTATCAGGTTCACCGATGTTCAATAAGGTTCACTAATGAATGAAATACACCGTTCTCCTGCAGCCTGTATCTTACATCGTATCGAGATGATATCAATTAAAGTTTTTCTTTGCATCAAAACCAAGCCTGTTTTATGATGAAAGATAAAATCGGAATTACAATTTATAGATTTGTTCAGCGGATTTGGAAAATCATAATCAGCAATTCGCATTGATTTGAACGTTATTTTGTAAAGTTTCATTAACTAAAATTTTTTTCTATTTTTCACTCACCGAAACGACTTGCAGTCAGAGCCGGCCACGTTCTTCTGCTTCTGGAACAAAAGAATAAAAATTCGAATTAAATTATTAATTAAAATGAAAAATTCGATTTAGCGATAAATCTTCCGCGACCGTTATTCAAATTATACAGAGAATTACATTTAGTTTTAAATCGGAGAGGGCTGAACAAGAAATTTATAAACTTATTTTTAAGTCGATTTTGCTCGGCTCGAACCAGATGTTCCGGTACGACATTCTCTTCCGTCGGAAGTACAAAACTATCTTCATAACTTGATTATAAGATCTTCCAGATTTAAAATAAAAATATAATTTTCCTAATTAAGGGTCGAGAATATTGAGATACTCGATAAGGAAGATGCAGAATATTCAGATGTTTCTTTATTCTCGGTAGGTTTGTTAAACGTTCGTGAAATAATTAACGATTTCACAAACTTGAAAATGTATGATGTATTTCTGCTCGCGTCTAGACATTCTGTTTCTCTATCCTTCTTAATTCAACATCTAGACTGTTTCGTCGTGACACACCTCAGATACTTTTTATGACATTGACAGTGATTCTGCGATCGCTTAGATACGATTCGATAGAAAAAAAAACGAGTGTTAAATTATGCAACGTTGACGAGAACTCGATTAAGTATTCCAACTGATGAGATATTACATTTATACGTAAACATTTATTTTCCACGAATTCGCTCTAGATATTATTCAAAATCTCCAAAGTAATCGCGGTGAGAAAATACATGTAAAAAAATCGTTAATTTAAAATCGACCACAAAATTATTAATAAAATCGGAATAAAATTGCATCGCGAGAATGGCGTGAAATTTTCACGCGCTACAGCTTCATAATACTTTGCTGTGGTAATATTTTAATTTTAACAATATAATACAATCATTTTGCGCGCTTGAATAATATATCTTACATCTTTCTATTATTGGAAATATAGATTTATATTATTAAAAAATTATTTGGAAATTTATCAAATTGTTTTCACTTCAATCATTAAATTTATTAAATCATTTAAAATCACTTATTGTAGATTGTAATCATCGCTCCTTTTTTGTTTTATTTTTAACATGGTTTTCATGTATGCATAGTTTTCATACATAATTTTGAGTACGAGGAAATTACACCAGTACGTTTTGAAAGCGCTTGTTGTTATTATCAGGGTTAATCATTTGACGAAAATTGCAACTGTCACATATCGACAGCCAGCTCAACAAGTAATAGATATTCAAAAAAGTACACACGACAAACGAAGGTAAATTTGATTGCGTTGAAAGTTCGCCACCGTTGAATATCGGTTAGCGACTGATAGCACATAATGTATCCCTTTTGGCTGATTGCTTTACGAGTTTTTTTTTCGCAATTTTATTTTTCGTAATCGAATAATCACAAATCAACTGTTAAATATTGAACATCTATAAAATATTTAATATATTGAATTCTTGTTAGCACATTGTTTTAATTAAATTTTCGGCTCGAATAGTATCTATGCAAATGTCAGCAGCGAGGAAATGCTACGACGGCAAAAAATTGGAGGCAGGATGTTAAATTGCGAAGCCGTAGGATGTAGGATTGAGGATGCCGAGACGTGGGCAACGATAAATATATTTTCAGTTGCGTTTAATTATTGATTATGATATGACGCTTGCAATATTAACGGGCGTTTGAATTTAATGAGACGATGGAAATAACCGAGTCGCGGAATTAAGGTCGACATTTATAGCCACTATTAAATATATAATTATAGCTTTATGAATTTTGGATTATTTGCCGACATATTTCTGTATTTATTTTGCGCAGCAATAATTCTTGATTTATCGGTCCATAAATAGGACATCTGGAATTATTTATGCTCTCGAGTAAAGTTCGTCAACAATTTACGAATATAGGGTAAGTCCGGGATAAATGGGCATAGGGGATAGATGGTCAATTGCTATAATTTTGTTAATATATGCTAGGCGTCAGCACTGATCGGTCAGTTGTGAGTTGGATGGTACCACGAGTATGTTTCATCCTGATGCCCAGAAACACTGCTATTGTGAATAGACAAATGTTTAATGTTTCTAGTAACCTTCAAAATGTTTCACACGTCGGAAGAATACCTTGCGAATACGCTTTATTTTGAGTTACAACATTAAACCTGACCT